CGTTCGAATACAAAATCAGTGAGGGAACACGAAGCGAACTCGTAGTACGATTTGATTCTAAAAACATTGAGGCATTTAATTATACTTCATCAACACGGTGATTTTAATCTTGACAAACAGCACAAGCTTCTAGAATTCGTATGAATTTTACTTCCTTTATACTAATTTCCTTTATATTTAAATCCCACGTGTTTGTCTGACGAGCTTAGGGAGATGAAGAGTAAAACCACGCGAGACCTCTAGTTGTAATAATAGTATAATACTGCCATAAAAAGGTTTAAATTCTCACACGTCTGCAGTCTAATATTCGCTGTTCTTAGTCACAAACTCATTCCCCCTTTTTCGATTAGTTAGTAGCACTATTTCAAGTGTGTTCCTAGTGTAACAGCAGCGACGTCACAACCCAAGTCCAATCCTAATTATTTGTCATCTCCTTGCAGATAAGACAACCGTGTGTAGACTTTCTGTTCGTGCCTGGTGGGACCCCAGGAACCGGCCCAGACTAGGACCAAAAGGTGCTAACTTTTGGTGTTAAATTCTTCGCCATCTTTGGACCTAACGTTTGGGAATTCCTGTTATAACAATTGGTAAAGTATCTCCGAGTTTTATAAACACTTTGCCCACCGTCAGTGGCCTATTTGACCACCGAGTCTGGGCCTGAACGGAACGTCAAGTAAAACGGGCTGGGCACTTAACGTGTTAACCTATTAAGTACAATAGACCATCGAGTAATAGACTTATTTAATCCAGCCCTCTCTTTTCCTCCCCTTACAGGAATGAACATCCACAAGACATCTTTACAATAACCCCCTAGGAAGGAGAAGGGACGGACCTCCACATACTTATTAATATTACGTTTCAATAAGTATGAATACTTAACACTAGAACTACCAAGCCAGTCAAAATGACTGGTTCCAGAATTTTCCTTTTTGCAATCACCGAACACATATGCCTGCTTTAAGACTAAAATTGGTATCAACTGATATTAAGAAAGAACTGTAATCAATATATTCACTCATATTCATCGTACCGCCGAAATTACTATAATCTGTGCACGTTATAGTTAGGTACCCATTAAAGATCGGCAATTCTAGTGTTAACCTAACTTCGAGGAACCACCAAGTTAATTAATTTTCCTCAAAATAAACTAAATCCCAATGCAGGCTGGCATCATTAAAAATAAAGATTTCTCTCGCAGAATTAACATGAATTGACAGAGAAATCCTTTGCATTTAAAGATTTTTTCACTGTAAAGGCAGGATATAATTATAACTATATTATATAAAGACACGATATAACTATAATTATAATTCAAAGCTTTTCTTATATTTTTCTAAGCTCGGTGATACCATTTATGCTAAAATAAAAAAATTATTATAATTTGTGCACGTTATAGTTAGGTACCCATTAAAGATGGGTAGTTCTAGTGTTAATATTTCGATTCTTTTTATCCAAACGATTCGACGTAATTGGACAAAGGTTCAAACTCGATACTCCATTGTCATCAAGAATTGTTTGACTTGAGCCATCTTTCCCGTGACACTGGACTCGCGATTAAGGCGCAAGAGGTTAAACGAAGGAAACTGTGAGAAAAGAGGAAGGACACAGGCCATGATCGATATCCGCGAAGGTGACGTGCTCGAAAGGCGAAAAGGAGGAAAATGGGCGAGTTAAAAATGTGCATCGGCGAGGAAGATGGAGCATGCTGAATGCTCGCGCGACGCGACGCCCCCTCTCGGAGGAAATAAATCCGATATCTCGAAATGCGAGCGTAGCTGCGACAAGACCCGACAATAATTGAATCGATCGAGGCTGAAACGAACCGTCGACGAGTCGAACTTCTCGTCTTTCCCTTCCGCTCCGTTGCCTTCGTCCTGGCACTCGCACCCCCGCGTGCAAATCCATCGGGCCCCACCTCCCCGCGATATTCCGGCGGTTCTTTGCCGTTTCCGGTTGATTCACGCTTTCAATTATCTCCATCATTTCGATAACGTTGATAATTGCCGCAGTCGCGACGCGAGCTCGCCTCTCGACGATTCCCGTGATTAAACACGCTCGGAAATTACATTTGCCAAGGTTTAAAGCCAGCCGGCTGCGAACGCTAGGCGGACAGAGGAAATTTCGCAGGGTCGAGCATAGGAGGTTTAACAGGTTTGCAGTTGAAACAGATTCAAAGCTCGATACTCGCTCACCGTTGCGGCGAATATAATGGCCAAGTGTCGCTAATGAAAGATAATATCCGACGACGTTGACGAAATGGAACTGAACGTCGGGGGTAAAATACAGCGGGATCTGTCGGAGCCGATCGATCTCGATTATCGGTTTTATTAGCACGAGAAATATCGCGGTTATTATGACGAGTATGCGGAGGGAAATCGTAGAAAATGAAGGTGTAATGTTATTGATCAGGGTGGTTAATAGTCGCGCGAATGGAGTTGCGGAAATTCACTGGAATAATTCAGGCTAAGTGCGGGAGAAGATAAGTTCGTGTTTTTAAAAGTGTATATCATTACTAGGTCGATCTTATTTGACGATGATTAGTGACAGACGAGTCCTTTAACACGTTGAATGGCATGCCAGTTTTAAAGAGACTGCCCGTGGCGCCACGATGTATAATATTTTCTATTATGCCATACATATAATGTTGAAATATTATCTGCAATAGATAAGTTACAATGTATAACCATGTTTGACATGTTAATTGCGACGGGGGTCATCATTGAATTAACGATGGCAATAATACAAATTTTTAAATATTGACATTTGATTAAATTATATATATTTGTATCAGTTTGAGCGCGCCGGTCACCAGTGACCCCCGTGGCACCACCAAGTTAAATGCCGGTCACCGGTGACCCCATGGCATTCAACGTGTTAACCATCGCGAAACAATAACAGGGTCTCTAGCGACCCTGCTTCTTTATCTACCATGACGAAGCAGTTTGTGTTAGTGCTGACAATGTATGTCCAAAATTTGAATTGAGAAAAGGAGTTGCAAGGTCTTCAGGCTCTATACTTATCGCTGTAACATAAACTGACTACGTGGAGAGTTCTGTCTCCAGCTAGCAGTATTCAGGATATTAGGACAGTGGAAAGAACAGATCAAATATGTCAAATATGACTACGAATAGGCCAAATAAGTCTTCACTTTATAAATTATTTTACGATTTATCATGATACGAAGCATATTATCTTGGCCACTGAAGCTATGGTTATAAAACTCAACAAACAAAAAGAATTATCATTGAATGAATCGCGAAAGAGGTGTTGGAACCCGGATTTCAATATACAATGCGGGTTCTAGCAACAAAACTACGTTAGAAAAATACAAGTTGGTGGAGCGGAAAAAAACAAAACTGAAAACTGACTTTTCGCAAATTTTGTGGGTGCTTATATAATGTTAGCTTTTGGTGGGGTGAAGATGACCATTAGTGAGGGTCTTTAGTGAAAGTAGGAATGAGTCAATTGTTTTTGGACTCTGAAATTAGCCTGCGTTTATCAACTAGGCTTTTCTAGTGACTAAGGGCCAACGAGTAGTTAGTCATCCAACAGAGGTCCAGGTGTTGTATATGTAACGCTAACAAATATAGTATGACATGTGCCAAATGTTCACGATTTACATGTATATCGTCATTAGGTCAATCCTGTTTGACGACGATTAGGATGGCTCCTTTAAAGAAATTGTGTATAGTTTCGAATAGTTAGTGGATTGTATATTTCTTCCTATTGCGTATGGTAGACAATGTCTCGATTACGAAAGGATATCGTGGGTATTTAAGAAACCAAGGCACTATTTCGTGTCAATGGAAGGGCTTAATTTACTCGAGGGGGCCTGGTACAGAAGACATAGTGTCAATTTGTTCGTTCGGTGTGGAAAGATGGCGGCCATTTTGGTAGCGATACCGATGCGCAAGTCGAAGAATAATAAAGCAACCCTTATGTTCCTTGTCAAGTCATTTCCTAGGTTCGAGTGAGTTGTTAATTATGTTTCCATAATTTATCATACCAAAGGAATATCTTTTCATCTCGAATAATTTTAAAAATATCTTTGAGAACAACCAAGCGTCAACAAAATTGAAAATGTAGAAATTGGTTTGACATAGAACATAATTTGTTATGTGCTCGAGAGAGTTACGTTTATGGCAGTATTTTGACGTTTGACGAGATGAAAGTATCGAATTTAACCGTGTCCGATTACGTTTTAAAAGGAGACGATAAAATCGGAGTCGCGAATGTGATAGAATTGGAGAACACGTGGAAAATAATGTGGAGAAGCGATATTATTAAACAATTACGGAGTACGTTACGATAATTCTGACCCTCGAGATATTCAACGCTGATGGGACGCAGTTGGATATCGAAGGTAAATTATATAGGAATCCGTGGAATTCGATCGATCTCGATTCTCCCGAACGAAAATGTTACGGTTGCTCAATTGCTACGGGAAATGTGGGCGAAAATGAAAGGAGAGGAAGCAGAGCCTTCGAAACGAGTACTCCATGTTTAAAGAACAAAAAGACCATGTGGTCGAAATAGAAGCAGATGTCGAAGATAAATTACGCGGTAATCTGATGAGTCCCATCTTGATTATCCTCCCTTAACCAAAAATATTGCAGTTCTCCGGCTAAAGACGCGATAAATATTCAACGTTCGAAGAATAAAAAGATGGTGATATTACCGTTAAAAATATAGCAGCCTCGGAATAATAATATCATCTTTCATAACACCGAATAACGTTATGAAATTAAAATGAAATACACGGAGAGAAATTTTCAAAAATTTATCAAATATTTATAGAAAAGCGAAGCTCGATTTGCCGAATAAAAACGTAACAATTATTATGACAGATATAGACGTAAAAATGATAAAAGAGGAGGAAGATTGAGCGAAGGACGACGAAGTGAATATCCTGCAGCGTTTAACGAACAAAAAGGTCATAAAATAACGATGAAGCATGCGGCTAGTTGAACGGATGAAAATATTATCTCTCGTAGACGTACCGTAAAGAGCCCAATCTGTTACAGGTGCCACGGACATGCCGCACTTGAAGACACCCTGATAATCCATGGCGAGCGTCATGCCCGTCGCGTATCCACCATAACTCCAGCCCCATATCGCCGTCCTGCTACGGTCGATGAACGGAAGCGAGTCTTGTAAGTACCTGAAATCGACGGGAAAATCGTCTACGTGTTAAATTGCTCGTTAATGAAACCGGGAATTCGAAACGTCGGGATTGTTCCGTTATTAAATCCGTAAATTTATCGGACGTTTAATAACGAAACTTTAGCCGCGGGGATACGCGCGTACCTTCCGCCGTCGGATTTATTTCCGTTAAAAAGTAGCGGCCGATAAAATGGAAACGATGAACGGAGATAGAACAGATGGAGAAATAAATTTGATCGAGTAGAATGAGCGGTCCATAGATGCCTCGGGCCGCCATCATAAGCGACAGTACTATAACCCACGCGGCGCCAGTATCGTGGATGCATATTTAGTACCTATAACAGACACCACGCGCGCCACCGTCGATTTAACCGCGATACCACCATTGTTGGCCAAAGTACCGTGCGTTCGACAAAAGAAGGCACTGCGTGTTTATATCATCACGGCTGATTAACTCCACTGTCACTCCCTTGATCACAGGCAATGACCGCTATTGGCAGAAAACGGTGACGAAGATCATAGGGGATGATCCTGATTAACACCGATAATACTCCGTCGATCACAGGATCATCACCGATGACCTTCGTCACCATTTTCGGCCAAAATTTCGAGGATTGAAGGTGTATAGTATCTTCGAGAAAAGAAGACAGGACGTGTTTACGTCCTCACGACTGATTAACTCCATTGACACTCCCTTGATCATAGGAAATGACTGCTATTGGACGAAGATCATAGGGGATGATCCTGATTAACATCGATAATACTCCGTCGATCACAGGATCATCACCGATGACCTTCGTTACCGTTTTCGGCTAAAAATTTCGAGGACTGGAGGTGTATAGTGTGTTTGAGAAAAGAAGACAGGGCGTGTTTACATCTTCACGGCTGATTAACTCCACTGACACTCCCTTGATCACAGGCAACGACTGCTATTGGCTGAAGACAGTGACGAAGATCATAGGGGATGATCCTGATTAACACCGCTAATACTCCGTCGATCACAGGATCATCATCGATGACCTTCACCACCGTCTTCGGCCAGTAGCGGTTATTACCTGTGATTATGTGAGTGACAGTGGAGTTAATTAGCCGTGAGGATGTAAACACGCTGTGCCTTCTTATCCCAAACGCACTATACACCACCACTCCTCGAAATATTCTTCTCCCGGCCACTTAACCGCATCCACCTCCGCGAGTTTCACGAAATTTCGTTAAATAAACGACAGGGTGGATACCTCGAAGGGGCGCAGCCTTCTCCCAGATCAAATTCCTAAATCGAATTACTGGATCGAATTCTCGGATGGGATTCTCGGATTAAATTTTTAGATCAAATTCCCAGATCCATCTTCCTTATTCGAGATACGTTGGCAGAATCTTGGCCGAGATTCATCCGGAAGATGCGGTTACAAAAATTGACCGCGTGTTTTACAAGTTCTCCAGCGAGAACAGGCACTCGATCCGCTGTATCTATTTTTCAGCGGACGCCAGACACACGGGGGTCCCCTTTCACATCCGTGAAATCCATCTTCCTCCGCCGTCGAGCCCGGGGACACTCGGACTCGGATGCATAATGCATCTGGCGGACGAGCACTTAGGTCGGCGAACGACATTTATTTTACCCGGCTATCCTTTATAAACGATTTTTACGAGCTCCCCACTCGGGTAACCAGAGGATCGCTACGCTCTCAAATTTAATATCCCCTCTCTCTCTCTGCGACCCTCGTTTCCTCTGTCCTTCTTCCTGTCTCTGCCGGCTAGCTGCCGGTAAGTCGATCCCACTCCGCGTTTACGGCGCGTACCTTAATGGCCATTTAGACATTTTTCCTGTGTAGCTGCGCCTCAACCTACCACTCGATATGACCCATCCTCTCCTCTGAGCGCTGCCAACACACAGACGCGATCGTCGACGAAACAAGTCCGCAGAGGCAGTTCCAGCTAACTCCTCGCGAGCCTCTCAACGAGCTTCAACGTTGTTCCGGGAATAACGCGAGAAATATACCATTTCGCGGAAATGATAATGCGGGATTAATCCCGGGAATACCGTAGCCTGAAGCCTGCCAGACCCTCGACCAGAAGTTAGCTCCGTGGGTTTAAATGATCCATAGCACGAGTCGCCACTGCGAGACGTCGAGGTTAGGTTAGGTTAGGTTAGATGATACGAATTCAAGTCGAACGAGAGATGTTTCTTCGGAGAACACTGAGAACCCGAGTAGTACGTCCTGTCGCTGATCAGACCGAGTTTCCCCTTTAAAGTAGGCCTGACAGACTCGGACCCCAGGGTCGTGCGAGCGAGGTGGTGCAGGAGTCAAAGGGTCACAGAGGACGGAGAATGCCTCGGTCCGCTTCCCAAAGGGCTATGACTCGGGCGTGTGGCAGGACCTTAAACTCCTACCGCACCCTGGTCCTCTCTCCCTCCGCATTGCGTCACTCTGGCTACGACTGGATCTGGGTTACACGGCGGAATCAAAGTTCCCGAGTCTTTCGCGAATCTCCGCGCAGCCAGAGTGCTTCCATAGTCTCAAAATCGAAGTTCCCGAAGACGGATCCGTGTATTCGGATAGCGGTTCCTTGGAAACTATCCAAACCTGTTTCTACCGTAGGTACCAACGTACAGAATGACGAGAGGGTAGCGCGAGTCCAGAAACTGTGTTTCCTCCGACGTGGTGAGATTTTTGCGAGATCTTTAAATTTCCCGTTGCGACTGAGAATGGCCAGAGGAGGGAAACGAGGAGAAAACGGTTAAAGAAGAGTCGTACGCGGTATCGAGTTCCGGATGAAGCCAAAGGACGGCTGGTATCGCGATAGATTTCCGCTAGGTCAACCGGAAGACGCGTTCGACGTCCACCGCGGGTAGAAAATACGCGATTTCCGATCGAGGAGGTCGAGGGGAGGAGGTTTTCTTGCAATCTCTGCCACGGTCTCCCATTGTCTCGCCGCGTCTCGCGAGCTCGATAATAATGGCCCCAGAGGGAACGACGGCCGCACGGTTGCCCATAGAAATGGCGGCGTGGTCCTCCGCCGGACGGATTCCTTTTTTCGCGAAATTTATTTACCTCGTAAATCGGACCGGCCAACTCCCGTTGAATTCTGTTCCTTCGGTTACCCGGTTTTTTCGCCTCTCTCTCGTTCCCTCTCCCTTTCTCTCTCTACCTCGCGCCGTGCATCGATCTCTGCCTGTGGAATTTCATTTTTCGAGCCACCCGCGGCCGCATTGTCTTCGATCCCGACCTTTAACGAGCCACTCGCGAACAGGGCCACGTTCCACTTTGCCATGCGACTCTCGATCGATCTTACGCGCCACCACGTCCAACCTCTCGCGAAATGGACCAGCGAATTTTGAGTGTCTTCGGGAAATCGGGGAGCAGGCAGGAAGTGGCGGGAACGAAGACGAAGCGAGTCGGTCGGTGGAATTTAATCCTAGTGCCTTATAAATTTCCCGGGCACCATTTAAAAATATTTTCGAAAATATGCGACTCCCTTTTTCATTTTGTTGCGAAACGTATGTAGTTGTACGCGGAGGGAAGGGGGGAAGGATCACTATCCATTAATGAAAGCCATTATTTTTCGAAAAGCTCGCAAAGCCGATATATCGGCTCTAAGGTACTAAAAGGACTAAGAGGATTATGAGAATTCATTTTTGTCGTTTAGGCGTAGCGTTGTTACGTATCGCAGTGTTTTTTCATGGCTGTATTTTTTGAAAGGTACCGGCGGTGGATTGGCACGAAACGCGAGAGTGGGTGGGCAGAGATGATGCATGAAAAATATTTGTTTCCGAAATATTGATAAAAACCGAAATATTGGTATAATGCATCGAATCTTGCAGATTATACACGCATTAACAATATGGTTGTTTTCGTCCATGAATACAACATTCAATTTTTATCGATATCTTGGCAATTAATAAATACACAACGCGCTCCGCCATTGATGTTTTTCCTCGAAATTTATTTATATCCTACCTGCATCAGCCAAATGTCAGATCATCGACAAACCCAAACTCCGCTTTCTTTGTTTCAATTTTCAATACCGGGGGATACATGAAAACCAACGAATCCTCTATAGTATTTCGATCAATTATACAATATAGAAAGGAAAGAATATTTCAAAAACTATAGAACTTATGGTCACAGACCATTCATCCTAGCCTTGTTGCCCAAACATTTGTTGTTCAAACTCCAACTACAATGCAAACTTTGTTTCGTTGAAATTTTTCTTTTGCCATGATTGTTATATAACATTGACACTATTTAGCCTAAAATTATTTTCGTAATTATTAAAAACACCGTGCCATTTTTGACAAAATTAGTGTCCACTTTTATCCAGTATCTTGTTTAGTCTCGTTATATTTAACTACTCGCTTAGGACCCAAGGTTCTACCTGTTAATAAATCTAACCTTGAGTAGGAAACGATTTTTCTAGAGCAATTCTTCTAACCCTTGTCATCCCTTCACGGACTTAACAGTGAGATTAGCAATGGTGCACGCGTGGAGAAAAATCGTGGCGAATTCTCGAATTACCGTTCGAATTAACCGTGCATATTCGAGGAGAATCGTTGGTTTAAGATGGCACTGAGGTTCGAAGTTCGATCAAAGTTTCGAAGCCTCGACACTGCTCTTGTTCCCGACACCGACTGACGTATCGGACTGCCAACCGAATCGCTGACGATGAACCACGATCGAGGATCCGCAAAATGGTTTTTCCCTAATTGGGACTCCATCGCGAATACCCGATTTGTCTCATTCGGGGGATGGATTTGGATCAGGTCGAGCCGGAAACCTGTCAACTTCGGTCAACACGAAAATCTTCAGTCCAATTGCCTCGCGAGGTTAATCAAATCTCGAAACTTTGAACAGCTTCAACCTCCCGCGCCATTTTTGCCTCTAAAAATTAAGAAGCTTCCGTATTTTCGACCCTTTGTCATTTTATCTCGATTGGAAATTGACACCGTTTTGCTCCACGAGTTTCATTTTCGATACTAAAACATTCAAACTTTTGATT